TAACTCCTTTTATCACTATGCTTTTGCCAATTACCACACGCCAAATACCATATTTGCATGGTTATACTAAACGAGATACTTTAATTCAATTACTACTGAATTAATACTAAAATATCAAATAAACAATTATCGGTGTCTTTTGGTTGCAAATATTGATATCAGCATTACTATTAGCTATAATACTTTACCAATTATGATTAATTACATAACAAGTTTGCAAGTCATACAAATTGATTTAAAATTTTGACTAGTTTTTTTCAAAAAAACAAAGTATATATATATGAGATAGAAATAAATTGGTTAAAAAGTTGAGAAAATATTTTAAATGAGTGTAATAAAATGTGTAAGTTGGTAATGAGTAATGAGTTAAGTTACTTGATGCGCTGGCCCGAACAACCCGAAACCTGACCCGCCTGTAACCCGCCCAACCCAAAACCCGATGAACCCTCAACCCGATTTGCCCGCAACCCGATTGAGCCCGAACCCGATGAACCTGCAACCCGACTAACCCGCAACCCGTTTGAACCCGAACCCGATGAACCCGCAACCCTACTAACCCGCAACCCGTTTGAACCCAAACCCGATTGAACCCAGCCCGAACCCGCCCGATTGACACCTATACTAAGATCGAAGCTCGAGCCCACCCAAAATCAAGGGCAAAACTATAAACGGGTTGAAGTTAAGGCATATTAAGATTATAGTTGGACGAAAAATTAAGTGGAAGTCTATATAATTAGTTGGACGAAAAAGTTATAGACTTTAAGGTTAGCATAATATGAGGTTCTAACATGACCAATATGTGCTAAAAAAATAAAAATGTATCTCATAATTAAAAAATATCATTTTCCAACCTTGTATTCGAAGCCAACTCATTAGTTAGACAAAGTAATACAGAGGAGTAACAGCTAGTAGAGGAATAGTGTTGAACAAGATTAGGCGGCAAAAGAACCAAGTCCTTGACCGAGTAAACACAAATTCATTATTCACTGTGGTTATAAACAAGGAAATAATTAGTGCGTATGAAAAATCCAAAGAAAATTAAAAAGAGGTAGATAAATGAATTACAGAAGACGCCAGAAAAACGAGTGGGAGCTGCTGCTGAATCTAGGTTAGTTCTGACAATTACAAGAAGATGGTCCATTCCAGTCTGCCCATTTTAATCAATTACTCTAATAATTAAAGAAAATTAAATCCCACTTACATTATTAATTTTTTTTATAAGCTTACATTATTAATTATTAAGTAGAAGTAAATGATCGCAAATCTTTTAAAAATAAAAGCAGGCGGGCAGAGGCAGGCAGCTCTCGCCCATACCATTCCCCATTCCGCGGCGCTTCTCTCTCTGACTCTGACCGTCTTCCGTCTTCCTTCCTTTTGCTTTCTTTCTTTCTTTCCTCGCCTACTTTCTCTCCGCGTTCCCGCCGCCCATTCCCACAACAAAAGTAGACTTCCGCCAATCCGCAGAGAAGAAAGAATAAGTCTGTGCCCCCGACGGAACCTGATGGCAAAGAAGCTCAAAGAGAAGGCCAAGAAAGTGGCATACATCTCTGTTCCTTCCCAGATAATCAACTCCCTCTCTTCATCCTCCTTGCAGTCTCTCCTCCATTCCCCCAAGAAGGCATCATCATCAAGGAAGAATAGCTTCATCTATTTCATCATCGCCCCTCTTCTCAGGAACTCCAAGCTATGGTGCTTCGCCCTCTTCTTCTTCGGCCTTGTCGGGATGCTCATCAACCTCACCCATCCCCTGCTTCTTCCTTTCTCTACAACCCGCCCCTGTCCCAACGATCTCCCCGTTGATCATCAGCAGCAGCAGCTTCAGCTAATTGGTTTTGGATCAGAGAACATTAGTGGTGACGGAGTTAGTGTTAGTATTAGCAGCAGTAGCAGTAATGTGTCCCAATCATCGTCCTTCTGGGAACAGCCGGATGGGTTGGGGTATAGGCCATGTTTGGGGTTGACCAGAGAATACCAGAGAGCCACCGAATCGATGTTGAAAGAGCGGAGCAAGAAGTATCTGCTTGTGGTGGTCGCCGGAGGAATGAATCAGCAGAGGAATCAGATTGTGGACGCCGTCGTCATCGCCAGGATTCTTGAGGCTACTTTGGTGGTTCCCATCTTGCAAGTCAATGTCATTTGGGGAGACGAAAGGTATAGTTACTGATGGATACCCTCTCCATTCGTATAAAGGAGAAAGATTGCATCTTTGATCCTGATTTTCTTTGTTTGATTTCTTTCTGCAGTGAGTTCTCGGACATATTCGATTTGGAGCACTTCAAGGCGGTTCTGGCGAATGACGTCAGGGTAGTTTCTTCTCTGCCTTCGACCCACATAATGACGAGGCCAGTCAAGGAGAAACGGACTCCTCTTCACGCCTCTCCTCAATGGATCCGCTCCCGTTATCTCAAGCGGGTATGCTATGCTGCTCTCTCATTTCACTTTCCCCTTCCGTTCCTAACTCTCTCTCTCTCAAGAGTCAAAGAGGGTTGCTTTGCGTTCTGGTTTTGAACTTGCCCCCAACTTGACGCAACGCAACAATGGTCATCTCCAGCTGGCCTCTTGCAAGCTGCTGTTGTGGGTGGCCCGCTCCCTCATTTATATGTTGGCAAGGCAAAACAGAATTGAATTGCCAAGCTGTTTTCTTTTGCGGTAGAGTAGAATACCGGCCAAACACGCCAAACTTGTATTCCTTTTCGAATATGCCTAATAAGTCAAGTCAAACCACCCCCTGCCATCTTCCAATGACATTTAATGTTAATGTGTTTCATGAATTGGCTTTAGAACAATCAAATCAAATCAAATACTAGTAGTCATGTTTAGATACTGACTGACTGTTATCACTTTCCATTTTTGGCAGCTTAACAGAGAAGGGGTTTTGCTTCTACGTGGTTTGGACTCGAGGCTGTCCAAGGATCTTCCTTCTGATCTTCAGAAACTACGATGCAAGGTAGCATTCCATGCCTTGAGGTTCTCTCCAACCATTATGGGACTTGGCAACAAGATTGCAGACAGAATGTCGAGCAAAGGTCCATACATTGCACTCCATCTCCGGATGGAGAAAGACGTATGGGTTCGGACCGGTTGCCTGCCTGGTTTGAGCCCAGAGTATGACGAGATGATCTCCAGCGAGAGAACGCGAAGACCGGAGCTACTCACTGCCCGGTCCAACATGACTTCCCACGAAAGGAAGCTCGCCGGATTGTGCCCTCTGAACGCCGTGGAGGTGGCCAGGCTGCTCAAGGCACTGGGAGCACCAAAGGGTGCAAGAATATTCTGGGCTGGAGGGGACCCACTAGGAGGACTCGAAGCTTTGGACCCCATAACTAAGGAGTTCCCATACTTGTTCAACAAGCATGATCTGGCCTTGCCCGGGGAGCTTGAACCATATGAGAAGAAAGCGTCCTTCATGGCTGCCATTGACGTCATTGTGGCGGAGAGAAGCGACGTGTTCATGCCTTCTCATGGCGGGAACATGGGCCACGCAATCCAGGGACACCGAGCTTATGCAGGGCACAAGAAGTATATAACTCCCAACAAGAGACACATGCTGCCTTATTTCCTGGATGATTCGCTTCCGGAGGCCGAGTTCAATAGGATCATCAAGGAGTTGCACAGCGAGTCGTTAGGGCAGCCGGAGCTCAGAAGTAGCAAAGCTGGAAGGGACGTCACCAAGTACCCGATTCCTGAATGCATGTGCAATCATACTTCTTCACACTCCACAGTGTGATTAATTGACATTCAAAGTTAATCAGCTCATCGCTTGATTGGATTGCTAATGACCAGCCAGTTGCTGCAACGGCGCTTCTTTTCAGCAGAAAAAACACGGAGAAAGCCGTGAAAGGTTGCTGCCACATTGTAAATGAGGAATACACAGACTGGTGGAAGGAAGCCAGGTTATACGGTGGAATTTGTCATTTTTTAAATTCTTTATTAGTTTATAGGTCTTTTATAGTTTACTTGTCCTTCATTTTCTAGGATGGAAGGGTTGCTACTTCTAAAGTTCATTCTTTTGTACGCAAGTAAAGGTGCCACAGGACAACGTACACATGTATATGTATCGAATAATTAAATCACTTAGCTTCAACGAGTATTGTGCTGCGCTGTCCTAGCAGTTGCCATTCAACAAGTAATCTGCCTTTTGCATGAGCTGAGAGGAATTCTGTTACAGTTTCAGCTGCCTGATACGTTCTATTTGTTTGTTAGAATTGGCCAACTCTCTGTTACATTACAATGCCAATGATCAAACAAGGTAAAAAATGGGAGAAACAAGACATTATGCAGGAAGTGGAACAAGGATGATCAGAGAGATAAGAGTCTCAATTACTAATATGAACGCAACCATTACATTGATGTTCTCTACCACTCTATTCAGACTATAAAAGAGGCTTATTCCAGATACACACCCTGGTGGTGATCAAACAAGTGCTACCTAATTTCTTGCATACTTACTGCTAAAGGCAGTGATGAATTTTCTACCATGTTCGTGAAAATGCTGCTGCTACTTCAATCTACTCACCAGTGTGAAAACAATGACAAATAAAAAAGTGAAAGGCAGCCTCCCGTGTTACTAGTCAACAGTGTGGCGCTTCTGGTTCAGCCGTGTTAGAGGACGCTGATAGTACTTCTGCAATTTTGTGTGGGAGCCTGGGAGGCTGCTCTTTTGTTTGTGAGGGACAGAGAGGAGGAAACCAAGTCAAGGTACCACAGCAACACATGTATATGTATATGCATATGGTGATGCACTGTCCTTGCACTTAACCATTTCAACAAGTAATCTGGTTTTTTGCACGAGCTCAAGGAGGTTTCTGCTAAGTTTCAGCTGCCTGATAGGTTCTATTTGTTTGTTACAATTGGCACACTCTCTGTTACATTACATGACTGCTTCTCAATGAAAGAAAACAATGGACGAGGTCAAGACAGTTTCTGCTAGTTACCATTCCAACAAGTAATCTGGTTTTCGCGCGAGCTCAAGAGGGTTTCTGCCAAGTTTCAGCTGTCTGATAGGTTCTATTTGTTTGTTACAATTGGCACACTCTCTGTTACATTACATGACTGCTGCTCAATGAAAGAAAACAATGGACGAAACATGACATTATGCAGGAAGTGGGAAAAGAATGAAAAAAAAAAGTCTTCTCACCAAAAAAAAGAAGAAGAAATAAGAGCCTTAATTACCCAAAAGCAATTGCAACACCATTACACTAATGTTTACATCCACTCTATTCAGACTGATAAAAGACGCTTATACTGATACACACCCTGCTGGTGATCAAACAATGATGCTACCTACTCTCTTGCATACCGCTTAAAAGTAGTGACGAATTTTCTATAGATGTTAGTGAAAATGCTGTTGCGACTTCAATTACAAAAATCAAAATGCTGTTGCGACTTCAATTACAAATCAAAAGGTGAAGGCAGCCTCCCATGTTACCATTCAACAGTGTGCCACTTCTGGTTCAGCTGGGTTGTTCAGAAACATGGGCTGCTGGCTTCTAAGAGGAATTGACAAAATTCCACCCAATCTGTCACCTCAAATATTGGATGGAAATCTCCTCTGTCTACAGCCAGTAGCTAAATGACGCCAGCCAAAGCAACTGATTCATCAGAAGAACATGGCCATAGTGGTGAAAGTGCAACAACTTTCCCTATTATGATCAGTGAAGGAGAAATTAAGTCGGCTTCTGAAATCTTATCAGCAAGATCCTTCAGTTCCGCAAAAACCTGTACGATAGTAGAAAGACAAGTCAGCATTCTCAGCCACCATGGAAGAAAGAGAAACACAAGAACCTATCTTCCACTAGTTGTCCACAGCTTACAATGCGCTGTTGTGGTGTGGTTCCTCTCTCGACTGCAGCAGCCGGTGTGTCTTCCGGCAAGCCATGATGGATCAATTTTGTAGCAAGAGAAGGGAGAGTGGCCAAGCCCATGTAAACCACTAGGGTTGAATCAGGGTCAGCAGCATTCTCTGCAACAAACAGCGGATCGGTGCCTCCTTTCCTTGAATGTCCCGTTAGAAACCTTACGCTATTGGCAACCCCCCGGTGAGTTAATGGGATTCCCAATTCTGCTGCAATTCCTGAAGCTGCTGTTATGCCTGCATAAGGTTAACACAGGAAAATTGAGCAATGCCACATGCAAACCAATGTTGGAACACATTTGCAAATGAAGAAATTTGTTGAATTAGATTCAATACCTGGAATGACTTTAACATGAATGCCTTGCTGCTGTAGAAAATCCATCTCCTCTCCACCTCTTCCAAACACCTAAAATGTTTTCAGTCCAGTAGCAACCATGTCAGTAGAATGTCAACAGGAAGGGAGCATCACGTTACATTTGTAAAGACATCATTTTTATAAACAAACTCACCAGAGGATCCCCTCCTTTGAGCCGGACAACTGTAGCCCCAACTTCAGCAAAACTCAGAAGCAGCTCGTGTATCTCCTCCTGCAATCAGGCAGAAGACTCATGCATAAGCCCACATTGACAAAATTCCAAATTGAGCCACCTACACTAAGCAGTTGATATATCTTATTGAAAATGAGTGATCTAATGTGGGGATCCCTGAAATTGCAATGAACTAATAGCATTTGGAGTCATTTGGGGTTGGGATTGGGCAATCTCCGTTGTTCTGGTGTTTACCTGGGTTCTGCTGTGGTAGCCAGCAGTCTTGCCGACATAGAGCAATCTAGCATCGGGACCAACCAAATCGAGAACGTCATTAGAGACCAACCGATCATAGAGCAAGAGATCTGCCTTCTGAATGGCTCGCAGAGCTTTGATTGTCAAAAGGTCGGGGTCACCAGGGCCAGTGCCGACCAAGAAGACACTGCCACAGCAGGGTTTCTGAGAATCGCCGTCGGGAGAAGAATGTTGTTGCGTTAGTAGTCTCTTTTCCCTGAGGAATTGAAGCAGCTTCTTGAGCTCCGGGAGCTGCAATGCAATGTCGTTTTGCCGGATGGAATCTTCATCATCGCCTTCACGAAATGGGGGAGGAGGAGGAGAAGAGAAGAAAGTCGGAAGGTGCTCCTTATAGAGCCAGTTGTCACGGCGGTACTGCTGGAGGGAGTGCTTTTCGGTGAAAGGGGAGGCGGCGCGGAGACAGCAGAGGGTGTTTGGGTTTGTGCGGACTGAATGATAATAGCTAGTGCAGTCGGAGGAAGAAGGAGGAAGAGGAGAGAGGGAGGGGAGCTTGTAGACGGCGGCCATGAGTTGGGAGAAATTTGCTGAATCGAAATCAGTGACTGATGATTTTATGTTGAAAGGAGGAAGGACGAAGGGAGGGAAAGGAGTGGCCTTTTTTTCGGTTTGCCCCTTCTGGAGCTGATAGAGACCATCTTTTGGGCTACATACATCAACATACGAAGTTGCGAACAGACGGAGCAGCCAAGCCACCAAGGCAAGGCGAATTTGGATTCTGTATCTCTCTCTCCCCTCACGCCGCCTCTCTCTGTTACTGTTTGGTGAGAGCGGGGAGGCATCTTAGCGGGCGGCTTTTGGGGCCGACGGAGGGACCACGTGTTCGAGAATTGGGCTTGGGCTAAAATTATTGCTGTAGCCCAGTTAATTAAAACTACCACCGGATCACGAACAGAGAAAGGATGTATCCTGGGCCTAGTCCATGGGCATAAGTTGAGGCGATGTCTTTGCCTCTTTGGGCTTCAGTTGAGAAAGCCCATGAATTCATGCTCCGTAGAGAGAGGGCTTTTGCTGTTTCTCCTTCTTTCTTTGCTTCTTTGTATTTTTATTTTGCCTTCAATATTATATGGAGACTGACGGGAAATGAAGTAAAATGACCCTCTTATTAATTCACTGATGAAGTTCTAAGGGCATCGTTGATTTGAATCAACAAGAAGAACAAGTCCAGAAACCCAAAGGAATGCAGAAGCTGAAGGTTGCAGAACTTGCAGAAGAAGAAGAACGATGGAGTTGAGGCTCTTGGTGAAGAAACGTTTCATGTTGGAAACGGCTTAGCTAAACGCAGCGTTCTGTTTCTTATTATTGTTAGTTACTTACAGAACAATAGAGTAGTGACACCTGGCTTTGTTACCGTTATGTTACAGTAAAAATGGAACTCTATAAATTAAAGAATCCTAGCAACAGGACAAGCTGAGGAATTCCCAACTTCTTCTTCCTCCTTTCTTCTGCTCAATCAAACCCTTCCTCAGGAAGGTTTCAAACCCTTCTTTAGAAAGTTTCATGGTATCAGAGCGGATCTAAGGGATCATGTCAGGCTCGGGCACGACGAGTGGAGGTCCTAATACTCCACCAAACACTCCTCCAATGAACTTTGGATCCTTCCAAAACCAGCCAGGAAACCCTCAAGGCAACAACAACAACAACCGAGCTGCAGATCTGAACTTCGGTAACCCATTCTACATAAATCCCAATGAGAATTTAGCTCAATCTATCGTACCCATTGTTTTAGATGGCCCAAATTATCAGACCTGGTGTAAGGCAGTGAAGGTGGTTCTTAAGACTAAGAACAAACTGGGTTTTATAGATGGCTCGATTGTTGCTCCGAACAGAAATGACAATTTATTTCAGATCTGGGATGCTTGTAACACGATTGTGCTGTGTTGGATTACTAATTCTCTGGAAAAGGACATAGCAAGAAGTGTCCTGAGTCATGATAATGCTTGTGCTTTGTGGAATGAACTTAGAGATCGTTATGGTCAAGCTGATGCACAGAAGCTTACTAACCTTGAGGATGAAATTCATTCCACTAAGCAAGGAACACAGACTATTACACAGTACTATACACACATGAAAGGTCTTTGGGAAGAGTATACTCAGTTTAACCCTATTGTGCCTTGTGGTTGTTTACCTGGAAATCCTGTGCCTTGTGCTGCTGTTGAAGCATTTAAGTTGAAGCAGAATACAGACTACCTCATTCGATTCCTACGAGGGTTGAATCCTGAGTATGACTACATCAGGACACAGCAGCTGATGCAGAAGCCTCTGCCAACAGTAGTGCAAGCTTTCCATGATCTATTACAGCATGAACAGAAACTTAAGGCAGATGGGAAATGATCTGGTAACAAGGCAACAACTCAATCAGTTGCTTTAGAAGCTGGTTCTTACAGTGGAACTGGTTCTTCAAATTCCAACTCAACAACTAAGAATCCATACAAGGGAAATGGAGGTGGAGAAACTGGTACCTACAAAGGAAGTGGAAGTGGTGAGACTGACCAGTTGTTTTGCAACTACTGCAAGAAAACAAATCATGTAATCAAGGACTGCTGGAGACTTAAGAAGAAGAGACAGGAGAGAGAAGGATCAGGCAATAGGTTTTCTGGAGCAGTAGCCCAGGATGCAGATGTTGAAGGAGACAGGAACTCACAAGTTGAGGTTGGAAGTAGGTTTTCAAACACTACTGGAGGTTTTACTGCAGAGGAAATGAACAAGCTGAGAACCCTCTTGCAGTCTTCAAATTCCAGTTCACCAACCTCCCCTCAGAGTCCTGCAATCAATCACAGGTCACATTCTGTGACTAACTACCTGCCTCAATTCCCAAGCTATGCAGGTAAACATGTTCTTTCTACTTATCAGAATCATAAAACTTTACAAAACACATGGATATTTGACACTGGTGCATCATATCACATTGCTTGTTCCATTTCTCTTTTTGATAGTTGTTCTCCTGTGTCTGAAATCTTTGTCTATCTTCCTAATCAAACAAGGGTCCAAGTCTCTCACATAGGTTCAGTTAGGTTGTCTCCACAGCTATTCTTACATAATGTGCTTCTAGTTCCCAGCTTCACCTTCAACCTTGTATCTGTTAGCAAGCTTACACATGACCTCCCAATCTCACTCATATTTTAATCTGACCTTTGTCATGTCCAGGACCTAGTGACCAGCAAGAGGATTGGTTTGGCAAAAGAACATAGAGGTCTATATCACTTCCTACCAGACAAGCCTACCATACCAAACACTACCTCTCAAGTTGCTTCCATTTACAATTTTGAACCCCACAAGATTGAGCTATGGCATTGGAGATTAGGCCACCCCAGTAATAGTAGTACTCTACTTATTAACAAATGTAATCCAACAGTTCCTGTTGAGAGAGTGAAACACTGTGAGCATTGCCATTTGTCTAGGCAAAAGAGATTGCCATTTCCTTTGAGTGATTCTAAAGCTTCAGACATATTTGAATTGGTGCATGTTGATATTTGGGGTCCATTATCAGTTAATTCCCATGATGGTTACTTTTACTTCCTAACCATTGTTGATGATCATTCTCGTGCTGTTTGGGTATACTTAATGAAACAGAAGTCTGAAGCTAGGGGATTATTGATTGGATTTTGTAAAATGGTTCATAACCAATTTGGAAAGGCAGTTAAAACTGTGAGGAGTGATCAGGGGAAGGAGTTTTACATGTGTGACTTCTACCTTAATCAGGGCATAGAACATCAAACCTCCTGCACTTATACACCTGAACAAAATGGGAGGGTAGAACGCAAACATCAACACATTTTAAATGTGGCACGTGCTTTGAGATTTCATTCAGGTGTACCCCTAAACTTCTGGAGTGATTGTGTAATCCATGCTGTTTACATAATCAATAGGCTTCCAACTCCAGTCTTACAAAACAAGTCTCCCTATGAAGTACTATATCAAAAACCTCCTTTCTTTGGTCATTTGAAAGTTTTTGGGTGTTTAGCATATGCTGCTAGCATTGTTCCAGGCAGAACCAAGTTGGATCCAAGAGCTAGACAATGCATCTTCCTTGGACTTCCAACAGGTATCAAAGGTTATAAATTGTTTGACCTTAACTCACATGACTTCCTAGTGTCTAGGGATGTGATATTCTATGAAGACATATTCCCATTTAAAATGTTGAACTCAATTCCAGAAGTTGATAATGAACAGGCTGAAACCAATCCATCACCTGTATTTCCATCAATCCTAGATAATAGTCTTCCTCATGTCAGTAGTCCTTCTCTACAGGGTAATGTCAATAGTCCATCCACACAGGGTCATGTCATTAGTCCTTCTTCTTCATCTTCTCATCCTACAAGCAATGAATCTGGTGCATCTTTTGATAATACTCCTGTGTATGAGACTGATGCAACTGTAGAGAATGAAGAAGAAGAAGAAGCAGCAGAACTCCAGGAACTGGAGGAACATGAGGCAGAACCAATTAGAACAAGGCCTCAGAGAAATGTTACTTTGCCAACCAGGTTAAAGGATTATTACTTGGGAATTGTCACTAAGTATCCAATCACAGATGTGGTTGATTACAACTTGCTGACTGAAGACATGAGAAGATATGCTGTCAATATGGTGACAATGGTTGAACCAGCTTCTTTTGCAGAAGCTAATGAAGAGGAGTGCTGGAGATTGGCAATGAAAGAAGAATTACTTGCACTTATTGAAAACCAAACCTGGGAGTTAGTTAAGTTACCTCCAGGGAAGAAGGCAATTGGATGTAGGTGGGTGTACAAAATCAAACTCAAACCAGATGGAAGTGTTGAAAGATTTAAGGCCAGATTAGTGGCAAAGGGTTTTACTCAAGTCTATGGAGTTGATTTTCTGGATACCTTCTCACTAGTTGCCAAGAACAACTCAGTTAAAACACTGCTTGCAGTGGCTGCAGCAAAGGACTGGTGTTTACATCAGTTAGATGTCTCTAATGCATTCTTGCATGGGGACTTGGAAGAAGATGTGTACATGCAGTTGCCATCAGGATATCCAGTTGATGAAGGTTCTGAGGGCATGGTTTGCAAACTCAAGAAGTCATTATATGGATTGAAACAAGCCAGTAGGCAATGGTTTGCCAAGCTTACTGGATCACTTTTGAAAAATGGATTCTCACAGTCCTCATCTGATTATTCTATGTTTGTCAAGAGGGTTCGGGGGAGGATTGTGACTGTCCTAGTCTATGTTGATGATATAATACTTGCAGGCCCCAGATTAGGTGATTTGGAGGCAGTAAAGTTGTTCCTTAAAAGGGATTTTAAGATCAAGGATCTTGGAAGTTTAAAATACTTCCTGGGATTGGAAGTGACAAGGAACTCTAGTGGGATTTCAGTCTCACAGAGAAAATACTGCATGGATTTACTTGCAGAAACAGGATTATTGGATGCTAAGAGTTGTAAAAGTCCTCTTGATTGCAAGGTCAAATTGAGTGCAACTGAAGGAACACTGCTGCCAGATCCAAGTGTGTACAAGAGACTGGTAGGCAGATTACACTACTTGACAGTGACCAGACCAGACATTGCTTTTCCAGTCCAGCAGCTGTGTCAGTATCAAATACAGCCAAGAGACACTCATTTACAAGCTGCTTACAGAGTTTTGAGATATTTGAAGGGAGCACCAGGTCAGGGTTTGCATTTTAAATCAAATAATGACCTGGTTTTGAAGGCTTACAGTGATGCTGATTGGGCAGCATGTCCTGATACAAGGAGATCCATTTCTGGCTATTGTACTTTCCTAGGTGGGTCTCTGATTACATGGAGAGCAA